TTCTGCCTTCGGCTCAGGTCATGATTCCAGGGTCCTGGGATCGAGCCCCGCATCGGGCTCCCTGCTCCGCGGGAAGCCTGCTTCTCTCCCTCCCACTCCCCCTGCTTGTGTTCCCTCTCTCGCTGTGTCTCTCTGTCAAATAAATAAATAAAATCTTTAAAAAAAAAAAAGAAAAAGAATCCATCTTTAAAGACAAATTGGAGTTTTGACATGGGGCTAAATTCTTTATTCGGATCCGTGGGTGGAGTGCTTTGGAGTTCCTGGGTAAGTCCAGGTTGACCTATTGAAACTAAAACAGTTTTAGGTAAACTCTGTGGGGATCTTCTCTACAGGGTGCACAAGGGGGATGTCTAGGGTTCCAGTGGAGATGGTTGTTCACAAGGGCAGTGGCTGAGGTGTCCTATCAGAAGTTATATTAGCATGTGACTCTGCAGGCTGTTACTTAGGAAATGCACTGGTGAGAGGGGCTGGTGTGAGTTCAAGTCCCCTGTAATCCGACTGACTACACAAAATGGATGCCAAGTAGCACTATCATGGAGGAGTTTACCTAAACTGTCAACAGTCCCCCTATATAATCTATCATGTATCCATGTTGATGTCCCAGGAGTTAGAAGGAAGAGAAACCAGTGCAATAGATAAACTGTTGGAAATATAACCACACATTATTTAAAGTCTGAGGCCACTGAGAAAGTGGATTACTAGTCATATTATATCACCATTATCAAATGCGTGGTAGATACCATCTGTTGTCTACATTCTTAATTAAGGTGAGATAGGTTAATATTGGTGGCAGGATAATACATCATTCATTACCTATCAGTGTTAACACATTAAAAGCCAATATATTCTATCATTAAAATATCTTAGGATTATACAAAGACTATGTTATGCATTTCAAATCCACTGTGTGATCCTTGTTGAAAATACAGATTACCAGCATTCAAGAAGCATTCTTGTTCTGATATAATGACCTAGGAGTCATAATTTCAATAATTTTCAGGCCTCAAGTAATTATTACGAAGTATCGATGTACAATTATATGCCCTGTTAGGGAAGAGTTAGCTATCCTCTACTGATATCTGGGAAGGTTTCTTCATTTCAGCCATATCAACTAATATTCTGTACATCTGTCTGTTGCTATTGTAAGGATCTATCAGTATTTTAATGGATTGCCACCACTTTTTCTTTGTTTTTGACTTTTTAAGATTTTAATTCCAGTTAGTTAACATAAAGTGTTATATTAGTTTCAGCTGTGCAATATAGTGGTTAAACAATTCCATACATTACCCAGTGGTTATCACAAGTGCAGTCCTTAATTCCCATCATGTGTTTACTTTTTTATTTTATTTTTTTTTCAAGATTTTATTTATTTATTCATGAGAGAGAGAGAGAGGCAGAGGGAGGAACAGGCTCCCAAGGAGCAGGGAGCCCGATGCGGGACTCGATCCCAGGACCCTGAGATCATGACCTGAGCCGAAGGCAGATGCCCAACCATCTGAGCCACCCAGGCGCCCAGTAAAGGAATTCTTAAGATGTTTTTAGATTCAAACTAAGATTTTTCCCTTAGTATTCAAATTTCATTGTCACCAAATGCTAGAAGGTTCTAGGCATTATTGGTATTTG